CCCCCCTTGCTTCGCCCCCTACGCCCCCTAAACATATAAAGTACAAGGGTTTTGTAAATCACATTTTCTCGATTGTTAAACAGCATATTGAATTGCAATTAGTTTTATTGTCTTTGTTATAAAAATTTTCTACAATCCTGTTTGGTTAACTTTCGTCGTAGCTGTTACCGTTTGTTCGTTATTTGTATAAAAATGCAAAGATTTATATATTTTTGAACATATAATTTTACTTTTGTCGCCTTAACTTTTTTTGCTGACGTTTTAAGAAAATATGTTATGTACAAAAGTTGTAGCTGCTTTCATAAGCTTTAAAATTATGTATAATAGTACTTACTTTAATGAAAATCCTGTGGGACTCAGCCGGTGTAATGCAGTATGCGTACTCAATCAGTGGGCTAAGTGGGGCTATTGTATTATCCTAAAAAAAAAAAAAAAAAAAAACAATCGAACTCCCCATGTTAAGTCAATAATATTCAAAGTTCATTAAAAAAAATGCATTAAAAAACATAATTTAGTTTATTATTTTAAAAGCATGTAATTCAGGGTGTCCAAAAAAATTTTGTCATTAATTTCCCTGACTTTCCATGACTATCCATGACCATTAACCATTGATTTCCATGACTCACAAACTTACTCGAAAATTATAATATACTGTAAACACACGAATAATACTGCCTGGACAGAAAATACTGAAATATGTATTAACAGATAACAATGGCGTACAACAATGAAGTAAATACCAACTCAAAACCCATAAACTAAGACAACTGTATTACTTGAATCGTCGTTCATTTGTGAAAAATTCGGAAAAATTCTACAATAGTCGGTGTTATGGCCGACAAGATCATTGAAAGGACCCTGAAATCCATCCATCATTGGGGATTTCCATAACTTTCCATGACTTTTTGCCTATTTCCATGACTTTCAATGACCAGAATTTTTTCCATGACTTTACATGACTATCCCTGACTTTCCAGAATGTGGACACCCTGTAATTATTTTTTTAGGTATGTAGTATTTTTAAACGGTGTTATCTTTGAACAAAGATCTGGAAGTTAAAAATGTATTATACATCAAATTGCAACTGTTTCATTTCTTTTGTAATAACAATTCCCTACAATCACATCCAGTTAAATATCGTCGTAACTGTTACCATTTGTTTGTTGCGCGTAGAAAAATGTAAAGATTAATTATATTTTATGGACTTGTAATTTCATTTTTTTGCAAAACTTTTAACGCAGTCATTTTATGAAAGTATTTTCAAAAAAAATTGTAACTGCTATAAGCTTTAAAATGATATATTGAAACGTGTACTTTATGGTTATGTAACGCATATATCAACCGTGAATGCATGGTGTGCACTATTGTTATGTGGCGCTCCATAGCTGATCCGTTACCGCACTCGTGCACGAGGTTTCTACCCATTATTGTATTTTTCTTGATTTTTTAAATTTTAAGACACCAAAAAATAATAGGAAATAGTTGATTTAGTTCATACTGTAATTCAACTACTAAACAAACTATAAAAATGTATTGAAATTAGGAACAATGATTGGGGTGATTAGGTTAGGTCCAGACTAGAAGGATTTGTTTACCTTGTTATGCTAGGTTTTTGAAACAACCCAATCAATCACCCAATGCGTGTGCAGGTCGTGGTATACCAGTTAACGATTTATTAAAAGAATCTTTCATAAAAGTTAGCGATTTAATTGAGGAAAATTAGATTGCCAGCATAGTATTCCTAACCTTTTGCAATTTATGAAAAATATATCAGGCAGAGACCAGGTTTAAGAAACGAAGTACTGTACTTCAAAACATTATTACTAAATCACTTGGTGAAAGACTTCTTATTAGACTACGAACATAAAAATAAATCCTTCATAGTTTGTTTATAGATAGGGTGGACAAGATTTTCTCTGAAACTTGGTACTATTAAAATAAAAGGCATAACGATTATAAGATTAAGATAATAGTTTCTACAGCTGCGGCTTTGATAAGACAAGAAATTAAAAACCGAGTGTATGATGACTCGTCTTACCCCAGTGTTGAAAATATAAGATCAGGGGGAAAAGAAGTTGTGAGGGAAAAATTGCAATTCGATGTATGAGTAATTCTTAACTTAAAACCATGACAATGGAATTATTTTGTAACAAAATAACATCCTATAAAATTATTACGTACATATAAAATGATTTCATGCTTTTTAAATACAATGGATATAAACAAATTGTATTAACTGTACATGGGTTTTGATTCGGTTGTTTTGTTAGCAAATTCCTCATATAGGGAATAAGCTATTACCGTAGGTCTCATGGTAAGACCTAGACCTGGGCCAGATTTACTTTTACGTTTTGAGGCCCTCAGAGGCCGAAAACACCCTTCACCGTTCAAATTCATAAATAAAATGTAAAATGTTAAGATTAGATTTTATATATATATGTGAGTCCATTAGCATGATAACTCAAGCAAAAATGAACCGATTTTGATGAAATTTGGTACAAACGTATCAATTTACGTTTATATTCTAACGAGTTTGCGAACCAGCATGATCGGACTATGGGAATAGGGGTTTATGGTTTTATGGGGTAAAAGTTGGTTATTCCCACTTCCCCCCTAAAACCACAATACATATTACAATTTCAAACCATTTTGTAGAGCTTAAAAAAATATATAATTTTTTATAATAACGGTTACGGAGATAATTCATAACAATTTTAATTTAAAATTCCCATTTTATTCTTTTGGAGAAAAAAAAAACTGTTGTAGTTTGCTTTTTTATAGATATATTTTAATCAAATTTATTGATTTCATAAAAACCTATCAACATTTCAATAAAAGAACACTATTCAATACCTTGGCTGTAGCAGCAAACCTAAGTATTCATTAAAATAATCTGACCAAGAAATAATTTTGACGATTTTAAGGGAATGTTTTAGTAAATATCCGGCCAGGTAAATGAAAATTTGCTTAGTTGCAGGTTTTCTGCGGTGGGGTATGGAGATAATGTAATAGTGTACCTTAAGTAAAAAAAAACCACTCTCCATATTACAACAATGATAGTATTGCAACGCCACTACTATCCACTTAACGGATACTATCCGCCACGCCAGCCCCACTTAGCCCACTGATTGAGTACACATACTGCATTACACCGGCTGAGTCTCACAGGATCTTCAATAAAGTAAATACTATTATATATCATTTTAAAGCTAATGAAAGCAGCTACAACTTTTGTACAAAACATATTTTCATAAAACGTCACCGAAAAAAGTTAAGGCGACAAAAATAAAATTATATGTTCAAAAATATATAAATCTTTACATTTTTATACAAATAACGAACAAATGGTAACAGCTACGACAAAAGTTAACTGAACAGGATTGTAGAAAATGTTATAACAAAGACAATAAAACAAATTGCAGTTCAATATGTAATTTAACAATCGAGAAAAACGTGATTTACGAAACCCTTACACTTTATACGTTTAGGGGGGTAAGCAAGGGGGGTAGGGGTGGGGACTTTTGGCTGAACACTTCTCTAAATGGTAGTAGTCGATGGGAAAAAAATCAGCTTGTTACTATTTTTTTCCACCTAAAAACACAGGTTGACTGGACGAGGTATGGTGTTATTTTGTGGGGACAGGCAACTGATGCAAAAACTATTTTCAGACTTCAGAAAAGAATCATCCGAATTATGACTAATTCCCACCCCAGAAGTCCTTGTAAATTACATTTTCAAAATTTAAAAATCTAAACACTCACAGGACTATACATATTTAAATTTTTAAATTACCTAATTAATTAATTAATTAATTATTATTTAAAAAATTACCTGCCAGATTCATTCAAATTCACACACAATTATAGTACAAGAAACTAAACAATTTTCAGATTACCAAATCACCGTTTGACCTTATTTGAAAAAAGTCCTTTGTACGCAGGTTTAAAAAAAATGTATAATAAACTACCAGTATATTATAAAATAATGAGTTCAAACAAGTTTCAAGAAACATTGAAAAATGGACTCCTTGAACGTTCGTTTTATAAAATAGAAGAATTTTATAACCATCGCTTGAGTTAATTTTTTGTTTTTAATTTTCTTAAGTACTGTATTAACATTATTTGGCTAGGGTTTTTTTCCTGTTACTTTGTACTTTGTATTTTTCTAGTCTAGGCTCAATTTTGACAATGCACCTGTTATGTGCAAATAAATAATGTCTAATGTCAACTAGTGGCCGCCACCGTGGATGCGCGCACAGCTACTATTTTCGTTCAGTTCACGTGCAGAGACAACGCACTGTGGTAGTACTTGAGTGTTTTCGTGTTGCATTGTTTGTTTATGAAAATGAGTGATCAGAAGAAAAATAAAGAGGACGTTGCTGAAAAAGAAGAAGAAACGAAGAAGACGGAGGAAGAAGAACAGAATAAGAGACTAAACAGAATAATAGAAGAAAGTGAATACTAAAGATGTAATTTGCAAAATTGAAAAGTACCCGGCAATTTGGGGATAGTACGCCTGTGTCTTCGCCTTCTTTTCTTTATTATCAACGTGAGAAGAAGATGTTCATTGTTCGACAGCATTGTCGCAACTACCATTGGACAGTGGCTGTAGTGGAGTGGCTTGTCAGTTGCCTGTACAAGCCATGTACAACAAAACACTGTTTATTAGTTTCCTTACAGCAAACCTAGGTACTCGTTAAACCTAATGTTATTTAGATAGATTTAATAGAAAATCAATTAAGACAAGTGGAAATTCGTTTAGTCGGCAGGTTTGTTGCGGTGGGGCTATTATATGTAAGCTTTAGGTCAAGGGTTAAGCTGGGTTTTCATAGGCACGGAAGCGGAGAGAGGAACGCGGAGAGCGGAAAGCGATTAACATGGTGTTCCACTCCGCTTATAGGAAAACAGTAACACTAAATTACCTAAGACAAGTGGAGTCCGCTCTCCACTTCCCCGCCTAGGAAAACCCGGCTTTAAGGGAGATGAGTTTTAAAACAAACATCTTTACACTTGCATTTATTAACAACTGAAGTCACACTGTATAAAAAAATACAAAATTAAGTTTTACTATCTGAATCTTCTTCTTCTTTTCTTTATATGGTGGTAGACCCCAGGTTCCATTCGTTTCCTTTTTTTTGTGTTGATATACCCTTGAACTTGATCCCTAACTTGATTGCACTGTGCAAAAGTACCACTAATCTGTAAGACTAGTTTTATTGGTCCTTCATCAATCATATTGATAACGGCATTGGTGGAGTTTGATAGATTTTGTAAAAACCTATTAGCGTCATCATCCTCTAAAATATGAGATAAGTGCTTGGGTATTTCTATTTCAGTTGATCCATTTTCAAATGAAGAAGCAGAGTAATTTTGTACAAAAGAACTTAGACTGTCTCCTGCATAGGAAGGGAAAGGACACTGGTGAGAAAAGTGACCTTTGTTGGCACAATTACAACAGTATTTACGTTTATTTTCCACTATTTTCTTTGGCACCTTTTTTTCACCTTCCACCTGAAAACAAACATCTTGAGATATTCACTGTTAGGATCTCAGTTTGGGATTAATAAACATTAAAACAATAACTAGGATTGCTATCGGATTGCAGTAAAAGCCAGCTAAGCGATTACATGTTTTTTTTACAAAGTGATAAATTAAAAAATCTATAGAGAAATGAAATTATTTGATCACCTTTTACCTTTTTACCTTGGTCCTCTTCACCGTAGTTGTAGACACTAGGGAATTGTCATCTTTTTTTCTGGTGTGTCATTGTAGTGTTTGGTGTTTATGTATGTGTATGGTGTATTGTGGGTTCATTTTGGGGCCTATCTTTATGGTGAGCAGTGTGCTCTTCGAAGAACTCATCTTATTTGTAAAATGATTTTTGGATTAGATATTCTTTGAGTGTTAAAAACAAGTTTTTTGGAGATTTTATTAGCTGGGAGAGCATTACAAATTGTTTACCCTATTATTTGGGGTATGTAACATGTGATATACTCTATTGCTTCACTAATTATTATCATTTATTGAAGTTGGCCATTTCAAAAGATGAATTAACATATTTTTGAGTTGATGAGCACGCAATCATCTCAAATAAAAATTAGAGGATCATGTCAAAACAGTTACTCCAATCCCAACCAGACAATAGCCATTGTATCAGCTCACCAGCTCAACTGATAAGGATGTTCCAACTGATAAGTAGCCTGGAACAGATCAGTTCAAACCTTGACCAAGACCAGTTGCACTTGTCTGAAGATTCTTCATGTTGTCTTCATGAAGATTGAAGAATATTCACCCTCACACTCAATGTAGATTTAACCATTTATTTTTAAATGGATGAGGTATGCTAATGTTCTATTCTATGTGATTGAATTTCAGTTACATAAATTGCAAAATTAGGATATTTTATCCAAAGTTCATTACTAAATTCAAACCACATGTTCTTGTATCATGTAAAAACCATCCTGTTTAGGTCTACTTCTCAAAATTGAATATTTTGTTGGAATATCTATATGTTAGGTTCATTAAATCATAGACTAACCAACCCAAGTAGACTTCCCATCCCATTGTAAATTTTGCTCTTTTTTCGTGTCTAGTTCATGTCTGTTGACACTGGTGGCTAGTGTCGATGACATTTTGTTTCTATTATTTTATAGTTAATTTCATGATTTGTGCTTTACTGTTTGGTTAAGTAACTAGAAGATGAGCTATTTTTTGTGATTAGGCTATATGGTTTTTACTAGCAGTTACCCTGCGCACGTTGCTGCGCTAACAACTATTATTTTTAATGATAATTTGTTCTTTACAATCTATATCTTTATATATTTATTAGGTGTATAAATATAAACGTTTTTACTTTGATAAAGGTTTCTACTTTTTATGTTTACATATTTAATACAGTAGAGGAGAATTTAAACGTGGTTGAGTGCACAGGTGTGCTGCGATTGGGGTTTAATATGTTTGGACTTGTCTAAAAGTAAAATAGTTTTCTGTGCTGCATTCTGTGGAAATATTGTGACACTATTCCAAATCATGACTAATACAGAATGTAGTGATTATTCAACCTACAAAACAGTTGGTGAAAGTAAACATCTGCTTTTAAATTATATTTTTTGTAAAATTGTAGTTCCAAAAGTCAGACATTGGACCCATTAAAACCCTCTGGGGCGGAGCAATTTTGACGGATCTGCTCCAAACTTCACACAAACCATCCTTGAATTATGCTTAATAATGCCTGATAGAAAGTTTCATTACAATCTGTCCAGCGGTTTAGGAGTCCATAAGGTACATCATACATACATACATAGTTCCTCTTAGATATAGGTTTGGTTTAACGGGGTTTTAAATTACAGAAATAACACAATACAAATTGTAAACAAAACAAGACATAGTGCACCGGACAGAACTAACGATAAAATTGGCATCAGATGTTCCATAAGGATGAGAAATCTACTAAGTAGCTCAGTCAACATAGGTTTTATGTCGTTAGTAATTTTGGGAAAGCTGGATTTTTCTATGCTGATAGACCATGTTGAGATAAGTATTTTCCCAAAAGTCCCCACTCCTCCCCCTTGTGCTATCCTCTTACCCCTCCTTTTTAGATAAATTTACAGTCTCTTAAAAATTAGCTACAACTTTAAAACGGGTTAGGATAACAATGCAATCTTTTGTTAATCCATTTGGCGATAAGATTTTCTACAAAAATTGTAATTACCATGTTAGCCTAAATATTGATAGTTTCATCACAAAAATGACATAAGCATAAAAAATTAATTTGTATGGATTAATTTTATGAATATTTTCCTTGTAGATATTTTATATGAGGTCGAACGACAAAATGTTTCATGTAAAAGTTGTAGTACATAATTTAAGCTTTAAAATGATATATAGTTAGTAACAGTTTGTTCGCGTATAGTGCTTAATATAGATAGTACAGTAAATTGATTCCACAGGACTCTGGCTTTTTTACGTGCTCCAAAATTGAAAACAATTTACGTATATAATGGTTCTTGTATTTGAATTTGTCGCCTTATATAGAACATATTTAACGTTCTGTAGTTCATTTAGTACATATACAGACTGCTGTGAATACTTATGAATGAATAAGTTTAATGTGCATTTTCTGTTGTATGCGAGGGTCTCATTTTATTATATATGTTATTTTTTATTCTTATGAAACATCCCTATTAACACGTTGAGTGCGGCAGGCATTCCAACAGGTGCTCGCCAATGGCGATGAGGCCCGGGCGAAGCCCCGGTGCGGCACCGTAACAGCGAACGCAATTGGCATTCAATTATTTCAATCTGATAAATAATAAAAGAGCAGCGGTGATTTTACAACCCCGAAATTGGACATAGTTCCCTAAAACACCCAAAGGTAGCAGCACTGCCTGGATCAGTGGCTTGAAATGTGGCTTGAAGAGAGAAAATCGCCGAAACCGGGACAAAAGCATTGTCAGACAGGATTTTACTAGAAATTTTAGTAGGTACCAACCTACACCAAAATAAAGCTCACATTCTAAGCTACAGGCTAGCAACGATTTTAACGTTCCCCGGCAATGGCTGAGCTCATACTGAACTAATGTAGTGGGGGTTGCGCAACTACATCAATTGTAACTACATCAACTTTTATAAAATATGCTACTTTATATATGAACTTTAATTTTTTATAATTGAATTTTTATGTTAAGTTCCGGAAAAGTGCCAAAAATCGTGTAACATTAACAAAAATTTAACATGACACCTGGAGTATTAACATAAAAAAAAACACATTTCAATACCCTCCCTGTAGCAGCAAACCTAGGTACTTGTTAAACCTAATGTTAATAGATTTAATTGAAAATCCAATCAGGCAAATGTAAATTCACTTAGTCTGCAGGTTTGCTGCGGAGTATTTGTATGTTATAGCAGCCCTTTTAACTATAAACAAAACACTACAGCCCCCATAGCTGTTAACATTATTGTAATTTATATAAAATACGGTTCAAAAGTTATCGTAATTTATGTGATTTTCTCATAATAAACCCAATAAAATAACGAAAAAAATGGATTTTAAAAACCGCTAAACTGATTTTGGTAAAAATAGCACCACCCCCTCTCATGCTACTTTATTCTTGTATTCTTCCCTTTCCAAAGCAGATGACTCAGCAACTAAATACTTAAGTGTACTTTGTTTTAATTTCTTGAATAAAAATATAACTTTTTTGCTAAACAGGTCTGAATTTTGCTTAACAGTAGGCCTGATGAATGCATTAAAATAGATTTTTATTGGAATGTTATAAACAGTACCAAACCCAGACTTGAAGCCAATAGAAACTAGCGATTATGTACAATTTACATCACTTACTGTTGCATGGAAGCTCCTCCAAAGATCTGGACAGATATCAGTTCTATGATTCACTTGGCCGCAAATATTGCAAGGAGTATCATAGTTAAAGGTGTTGTAGTAGCAAACATTGCACTCTTGCGATTCACTTGTGATATAGACCCCGCACTACAACATACATGAAGCTTCAATTAAAAATTTGAAACATTTTGATTTTATTAAACCTTTGAGCACACTTGAAGGCAAATGAACACTCAGAACTTTACTTTACGGCTTTACTCAGGGTATGGAAAATGAACGTTTAAGAGATAAAATGTGTGTATTATGTCATGAATAGATAATATTCAGTACCTGGGGACCGAGCTTTGCTCGGGGAAAATCATTAGTTTACTCTGAAAGCAGTCTTAGTATTGCAGATGTATTAATCCATTCCCAAACTCCACACTGCTCGCATTTATTACTTCCTTCACCACTACCTACGTAGTGGACCTGTTTCCCTCCCTTCCCATAGCATTTTAGGATAGCAGATACATTAATGTAATTGCCACAGACAGTTCCCACACTCTACACTGCTAGCCTTACTACTTCCTTCACCATTTCCTACGTCATGGACCTGTTTCCTTCCCTTCTCATAGCATTTAAGTATTACAGATACATTAATCTAACTGCCACAAACGGTTCCCACACTCCGCCATGCTAAACTTTACTTCTTCCTCGGCCACTTCCTATGTCTTGGACCTGTTTTCATCTCTTTCCATAGCATTTTAGTATTTTAAATCCTACATTAATCTAATTGCCACAAACATTTCCCACACTCCGCACTGCTAGAATTTACTACTTCTTTCACCATTTCCAAAATTGTGGACATGTTTCCATCCCTTCTCAAAGCAATTCAGTATTGCAAATATATAAATCCAACTGTTACAAACGGTATCCAGTTCCCACACTCTACACTGATCGCCTTTACTACTTCCTTCACCACTTCCTACGTCGCGGACCTGATTCCCTCCCTTCCCATTGCATTTTAAGATTGCAGATACCTTAATCTAATCATCATAAACAGTTTCCACACTCCGGAATACTCGCCTTTACTACTTCCTTCACCACTTCCTACGTCGCGGACCTATTTCCTCCCTTCCCAGAGCATTTTAGGATTGCAGATACCTTAATCGAATCGTCATAAACAGTTCCCACACTCCGGACTGCTCACCTTAACTACTTCCTTCACCGCTTCCTAGGTCGCGGACCTGTATCCCTCCCTTCCACAGAGCATAGAATAAATATAGAGGCGGCACTTGCCGTCTGGAGCCTGAAGCAGGCTTCTCGTACCAAGATGGCGGCCGGCCCGGTCTGCATTTACGTTTAAACCAGTATATTGTTACCATGGAAACCACCAATCAATATTTACTTTTAAAACTCTCAGATCAGAACTTTGAAAGCCCGTGGGGCAGAGTCCTAGGTCAATATCGAAGGGAGGATAGTTCTATATGTAGCATAGAATAGCACAGAGGTAATGACGCCGTGTTTTCGAAGTTACGAGCCCGACTCTCTTACCAAGATGGCGGAAATCGGCTTCACTACTACTGGTATAGCTGTAGGTATAGGAGTGGTGACTCTATATTTATTCTATGCTCTGTGCTCCCTTCCCATAGCATTTTAGGATTGCAGATATATATATTACTAGTGTCCTGTAGGGGCCATAGCCCCTAATTGAGACACAATTGTCCATAATGAAGGAAACTCCCCATTTCAAGGTCAAAAATATATCTAAGAATTTATTTTATAACAGTAAGGCCCATTTCCCGGAATCTCTTTTTGTATAGCGGAAAGCGATGCAAAAGCCATTGTACTGTTGTATTGCATTATTTTTTTTATGAAGATAGAATCATGTAAAAACAGTTTTCTTAGTTCGTCATTTATTTGTGGTTGTGGCATGATAATAAGTCCATTGTAGCAACGAAGCGTTGAAATGTCCATATGTGGACTCCTCTGCGAAGTGAAATGCGCCACAATGCATGAAAGTGCTGTTAAGAGGACCTAGATTGTGAGAAACAACACTCAACTCATTTTCCAGTGTTCTTCTGAAGGCAGGTTGTAAACCAGCTTGTGAATTCTTTTATAGTTAGGCCTTACATGACATTCTCTTTCAGCATTTCTTGTGTCAGTTGAATTCCTGGATACTCTTCCACGTCTTGCAGGTCTTCCCCTACCCTGTCAAGTTACTTCACTCATCATAAAAACGCGAAAAAAATTCCTGGACACTCTTCCACACCTTGCACACCTGTCTAGTTACTTCATCACGCATTATAATAACGGAAAACAAAAAGAATTAAACAAATACATTTCATTTTGAAACATTATTTAACAACATTGACTTTTGGTATAAATGTAAACCTTGCAAATAAATAAGTAACAGCTGATTAGAATGCAGACGTTTTTCAGTCCCCATGCTTTTCTTATGGGAGATGTTTTACGTTATATCTTGTTTTCTGGTAACTTTATGGGAATGCTGCTATTTTTCCCGAGTCCCTGGGGTCAAAACCTTTTATTTAAGACCTCTTCCACTTTTTTGCGACTTACCAGACGTCCACAATTTTCTGGTAAAAATGTTGTCTTACAGAATTATTTTGTATAAGGATATTATTAAAGTGATACAATCAAATTTTATGTAAATGGTTAAGGCCATTAACAAAATAAAATTATAGGCAAATAGCACATCAAAATGAAGGTCAGAGTGTGTAGATTTGCCGAAAATTATTGGTATGAATGAACAAATTCTGTTAGGGCTCTGCCCCACAGGTCGATTTCCAAAGGGCTACGCCTTACTTGTTTTAGAAGTTGACGTAATTCGCCTAATTTATCGAAAACAGCTGGTCAATGAAATTGACAATATAGTTTATTTATTTACATTTTTGTTTACTTATATTATTGTTTACTTTTATGTTCAAAGAGGTGCGGTAAATGAACACTGATGCTATTTCTAGCTGGTTGATACAAGTAAGTGCTTTAAGATGTTTGAAAGACGATTCATATGAGATTAAAAAACATTTCTGTTGGTCGTCCAAGAGGTTGTCGTGAAAGAGAGTGGCGAGTTCAGGTACAACCGTATAGTTCGGCCAACGTTTCTGTGCGCGCGACCAGATCTGGTCGGGTCTAGGCGAGGGGGTCGGCGGGGGTACTTTTGTTGAAACATTTATGCCTTGCTACTCACTCACCCCTAACCCCAGCACTGCCAATAACTGGTACCTGTATGTTGTAATTCGGATCAGGGCTACAGATATACAAGGGCTGGCTCACTCCTTTGATGTTAGCGGTCGCCACCTGATCCTACTTCCCCTTCCCCGCCCCTCCACAGTGACGTAGCGGAGATACATTGGCGCGAGGCGCGACGGTAGCCTAGCACGGCAGTACATATGTCGCCCGTCATTTACGCGCATATTAATAATTGTGTTTATAATAATGTAGTTTTATATTGTGATTTTTAAAGCGGGTTTCGTTAACCCTCCAACTTGCAATGGGCGAACTCTGTAGTGGCAAGGCATTTTTGGCGATTTTGCATTCATATTTTCGAAAATGCATATAAACTAAACCAACAGATCAAACCTATGAACCGTATTTACTATTTCCAACTTGAAGTGTTCGTAATGAAATGAAGAATTTGAAAATGGCAACAAAATAAATATTAAAAATATTGTAGAAAATATTGTCAGTAGGTAGAAAAATTGCTGCATGAACCAAAAATGTTTCATAAGATATACAAATTGTTTGGAATTTATTTCCCTACATGGAAATGTAAAAAGATTCCAATTACCATTTATACAAAGTTATGGCCAAAAAACAATAAAATGACAAGTTTCACGATTTTGCACAACAAATTTCAAATAAAAACCAAATAAATGTATTATCAAGAGATAAAGTAAAAGTAAAAATTTTTAGGTAATAATATTGGAGATCAAATGAAGTAAGAATTGTTTATGTATACTGATCATTTCAATAGATGTTTATGACTTTTAATAAATGTTTATATTTGTCTAAAAAAAAATTTGTTATTCACACGTATATATTATTTTTAAAACCCCACAAACCAACTATATAAAATGAAAGTAAATTCCCCTACATGAATATACATAGTTACTAGTGGCTTGTAGGGGCAATAGCCCCTATATATATGTAATATATTCTAATAATTATTTTGTACAAATTATTTGTCTCATGGGTTACCGTACCCTACCTTGAATTATCGTTTAAACTGTTTGTATACTATAATAATGTATAATAGTTATCACATAGGCCTACCTGCTTAATTCATTTTTATGTCTACTCTGTTTAGGATAAAAATTCAAAAGGACTCTTCATGTGGTGTGTTTATAACATAAATTTTCTAATCATAATACAACAAAAGAACATTTTCAATAATAATCTTCATGACTATTAATTAAATATATATACATTTCTTTGAATATAGACAAATTCACTTAGAAAAACAACACATAGAGATAATGTCATCTTCCAAATTGTAAAATACTAATTCTGTAACAAAATCTCTCTGAAAACGACATTTGTTGTATAATATCTATTTTGGTCCATTCCTTGGTCTTTATTTGGTTCTATTACTATTTTAACGTCATCTGGCCGCTTTACCCGGCTAGATGCAACATAAAGTTGACCACGGGTAAACACTGGTTTTTTTCAAATAAATGCCAACTTTTGAGAAGGTTTGGCTTTGTGCTTTATTTATAGTAATAGCGAAAGCTAATCGCAATGGGAATTGAATCCTTGCGCTTTATTTATAGTAATAGCAAAAGCGAATCGCAATGGGAATTGAATCCTTGTAAATTTAAAGGGCATATTAGGATCTGTAGATATTAGTTTTATTTTTGGCATGAAAAAAATGTTCCCTTTGCCTACTCCAGTAATTACTTCTAACTTTACACCTTTTTCAGACATACCCAACACAACCAATCGTACTCCATTAACTAATCCAGACCCTAGGTTCATATTTCTTATGAGCATCACTATTGAACCAACTTTTAAAACTAATTTGTGTGGTGACATTCCAGATGGTGTAATTGAATTTATAAACTGAATTGTTATGTTCAATCTCTCTGTAGGGTCTTCTGAAACTACTTCATCATTACTGTAGTATTCCTTATAGTCTCCCTCGAAGA